GAAGAGAAATATAGTGAAGAGACCATTCATGGAGATGCAGATAGAAACCAAAAAATTCAGGCAAGACAACTTCAAAAAAAGACACAAAGCTTCCAGAGCCAAGAAGAATCAAGAATCTCTTGTCACTTCCTCTTCCACTTTTAAGATTTTAGATCTTTTAACAGAAACATCGAACATATTAGGTTAGTTAGTTAAGGTTTCTATGGAGTATTAGTGAAGTTACAAGCCTAAGAGATCCAAAGCCATGTTTGGTATATTTTTTGGTAAGAAGAGTGGAACTCTTGTTCTCTCTTGTATTATGACTTTTTGTGGTCGGAAATCGGAATTATTCATATTTTTGGTATAGTGCAACTAGGTAGAAATATCGAATTTCTTTAAATAATAATGTGGTGAAAAACCAAACCCATTTTAGTAAATCTTGGTTTCTTAATTAATCCAAATTAAGTTAATTAAACAATAGTCAAGGCACCAAAACTTTCAAAAGTGTGATGATAATTTTAGTTAATGCAAATTAGTGTTAGCTAAGTGGTCCCTTTTGTTAGCTCGTGCTTTGAAATTCATAACGACTATGTCCACACAACAAAGACATTAATTAACGTGTATCGTACAAAGAGGTCCGAAACTTGAGAGACAACTTCAAGTGTGTATGTGAGTGTTCATACTTGTAGAATGACGAAAATGAAAAAAAATGAAGGTGTTTTTATTAAAATTCTCTGCAATATTAGAATATGTGTGAATTGATTTGAAGTTTCGTTTTCGTCTACTCTGGTCTTTTTTATGTGGTCTCGTATCATTTCGAAGTCATTTTCAATGTGTTTGATAAAAAAAAATTTTGGTTCAACATGGAAACGTCGAAGAAAATCTTATAAGATTGAAATCTAATTTTCCAAAGGAAATATAATTGAAATTAATAACGGCAATTTATTTTATGATTAAACCAAATTATTTATGACATTACTCAAACCTCTTAAGAAACAAAAATTATGCCATTTGCACATATTATATTTGATAAAAGGTTAATATATGAAACATCTTTGATAAAGTGAAGAAAATAAATTCACTACTGACCTTGGTTGACAGATTCTTAGATTCATATAATTTCTTATGTCAATGGAGAATTTTTAATGTTGCCTAATTTCGAAACAACGTTTTCTAAAATTAGGGATCCCCTAAAATTGTAAAAGAAAATCGAATGATTACTCTATGTTTGTGGAAAATCAATGAATAACTTCCACAAAGACCGTGTGACTCAGAGAGGTTGACTTTTAAGCATTTTGCTGGCACAAGCAAAAGACTTTTAGATTTTTGACTCAAAGGGTTTCACATTTCTTTGTATATAATATTTTATCCACACAATAACGAAAAATTGACTCCTAAATAAAAAATTCCATGTTTTCATCAACATAGCTCTAATCGGTTGAAAAGTACACGTTAAAAACTGGTCAATCAATTAGTTATATATTTTTTTTCCATCTGAATTTTCATTGAGCTAATATACATCAAACTTACAAAGGATAACCACACAAGGTTAGTTAGAGAATAGCTAGTGCCTAAAGCTAAACCGAAGCAAGGCTAAAACAAAAGATAGCCTATGTCAAAACAGAGCCTGCATCCACAAGACAAAAACGGATCAGGAAGTC